TCAGGGCGGACACATGCGAAAGCACGCCATTGTCCCACGGGGTTTTCCCGCAAAACGCGATTGTCGTCAACGTGTTCAGTTGAGTTTACAAGGTTTACAACATCACCGTACCTTGAACCATTTTATTCGAGCCTCTCCACCCTGTCCCAAACGGGTTAGCGCTGTTCTCCTTGCCTTTACGCTTTCGTCTTGCATCTAGCTTTCCTTCTTTTAGCCGTCGGTTTAATGCTTCTGTGATGTACGCAAAACACAACTTTATTTGATTGACACTTTGCGTCGAGCGATCTGGGACCGATCAGAGAAAATAAATTGTTCTTCTGGGAAAGGTCATGGACTAGAAAGTGTTATGACAAGCTGATAGAACTTTCATGAATGTTATGCTTCAGGCATAAATGGCTGAGAGATATGTGGTCAAGCATACAGTAAGTGATAAGGGGACACACGAAGTGATAAGAGAAAAGCGGAATATTGAACGCATTTTTGTCACCTGTGTTCCATATCTATTGTAGTGTAGCGTGCTGTCTTCGAAACTATTCCGGTTTGCCTGGCCTTATAAGCTCTGAATGTCTTCGAATCTTTTTTCAAAGCGGCCATTGTTACTGTATTTCTCTACAACTGTAAATACATTGTTTAGGACGGAATTGTGAAGGATGGTCTCACAGACGCTTACGATCTGTGCCATATGGGTAACTGTGGAGAGAAAACTGCGAAGGAATTAGCAATCTCCAGAGAAGCACAGGATGAGTATGCCATTGGAAGTTACAAGAAGTCTGCAGCCGCTTGGAAAGTGTGTAATTTATGTTGAATGGGGTAGTGAATGGAATCTTGTTCAAAAGAGCTTTTAACAGAATGGAATCATGGCTGCTGAGGTGGTGCCCGTCATTGTGAAAGGTAGAAAGGGAGATGTCACTGTTGATCATGATGAGGAATACAAAAAAGTCGATTTCGATAAGTTGAAGTCACTGAAAACCGTCTTCCAGAAGGGTAAGTTGTTACTATTTGATGTATTCTCCTGTGTTTTTTTCTAAGTTCAAATTTTATAAGTGTTTCGTTCAGATGGAACGGTTACTGCTGGTAATGCATCGACATTGAACGACGGTGCAGCTGCAGTGCTTTTGGCAAGTTCTGAGGCTGTGAAGCAGCATGGCTGTAAACCACAAGCCAGAATTCTTGCATTCGCTGACGCAGCGACAAATCCACTGGACTTTGCCCTTGCACCTCCTCTAGCTGTAAAAAAGGTAATTAATTTTGACTGATTAGCTATAACTGCTAAGTTCCTATAACATACCACGGTTTCCGAACGGAGCGTATCGTACGTCTGGTATCCTTAGCGAGGGACGTTGATCGTATTATGTGGAAGTAGAGATCCTATTTGACTCTGAGAAAGATGTTCTTCGGTTATTCACTTTTTCCAGTCCTTCCGCCAATTTCTTCATGAAAAGGGCTTGCATTTCGTAAATTTACTTCATCACTAACTCCTTCGCCATCCCCTCATGTCGGGTATGTGACAAGACATTCGTAATATGCCGCGCTGGTGGGCGTACGCGACGTGGAACACGACAAACAAGTTGTCTTGCCTGGCCATCGAAACATAATTGGCAAACAGGTGGGAAAATTCGATGTCGCCCATCATGGAGTCTTGTATTTGCTTAAATTTGTATAAGTTTTCCGGCTGCTTTAGTTGACAAAGTGAAGCACATCGAGAATTTGCCGCTCATGGCCGCACGATACGCCGCGCGCGGCAAAGCAAAAAATTACGGTCTCATTGTCCGAATTACCTTCCCACCCATCCATGTCAGTGACATGCATGAGATGTGGCATATCTTAATATGCAAAGTGCTGGGACTGTAGACCTATCGTTAACCCGTTCTGGAGGCGCTTTTAAATTGGGAAGTCGTTCAATGCACTGCTGATATTTTGAGAATTACGAGATTGCTTACTATTATCAACTACTTCAGATGCTGCAAAGCGCAGGTGTGAAAATGACGGAAGATCGATCATTGGGAAGTCAACGAAGCATTTTCGGTTGTTCCCTTGGCATTTATCAAACAAGTGGGCTGTGATGTAGAGAAGGTGAACCCTCATGGAGGAGCGGTATCCATTGGCCATCCCATTGGGTAAGCATCATAACTTTGAGCAAATTACTGAGTAACTTTTGGCCCACTCGGGGGTGTGCTCATAGAGATTTTCCGTGGTCACCTTCAACAGCAAATTCTCTTCTTTCAGAATGTCTGGCGCTCGCCTTATCACGCATCTCGTCCACGCCTTGAAACCGGGCCAGAAAGGTTTGGCTGCCATTTGCAATGGAGGCGGTGGTGCCAGTGCGATGATTATTGAGAAGCTGTGAAATTCCACATTTGCACCTCTTTGTTCTGCTCGAGTTATATTTGTATTCACTATAGTGTAGATTTAATTAGATAAATAAATAAATAAAATAAATAGATGTAATAGGTTTGAGTCTTTTAGTCGAAGCCGGTTTCATTATTTTCACCG